TGCTCTCGGGCCCTAGTAGAGAGCGTCGGGAAAGGGCATTTCCTGCCAAGAAGAACCAGTTCTTGATTGTACTGGTGCAGTGTCCGGTTGTGTCTCTGGGTTGGTGAAGAGATTAAGTAGAACTTATCCTTCCACCCGGACCACTTGGATCCCTTGTCCAAACTCATCAAGTATTGGGGCAAGGTGGAAAGAGTGTACCATGCCCCATAACCGCCTGGGGCCTTGCTCAAGTAATGCATATGAGCAAAGGCAGAGAAGATGGGAGCAAGATTCTGGAGCTCGCAGGCGGCAATATAGCTCAAAATGTTCACCCACGAGTTTTGGGGTGAGCTGCCAGACCCCCAGGTCATACCCCTTTAAGATTTTCCTAATCCTAGTGTAGAGGGGGAACTAGAGGCCAGCTTCTATTAATGCCTCGTAGAAGACAAAATAGTTATTTGCATTCTCTATTTTATCGTCCCAGGCTCACTGCGTCCCTAGGAGGAACGATAATATCCCACCCCTTTCCAAAGGGGTGCTTATCCTTAAAAGCCCTAAAGCCACTCTTTAGCGGGGATATGTCACCCGGAAGCATCCTAATTTTCTTAGGGTCTGGGTTGTCAGCAACTTTCGCCGGCTGCTGATAGTCAGCCGCGAAATTATCTGGATCGGAGCCAGAAGCCTCGGCTCCCGATCTTTCAGCGACCTCAGTACCGCCGGATCCTTCCCCAGATCCGTTAGAGGAAGCGGCCTCTTCACTGTCTACCTCGCGTATGCTCGAGCTCCCAGAAGAAGAGGGAGCCTCTTCATCAGAATTGTTGCTCCCTTCCAAATCCTCATGTTCCCCATCCGGAACAACTTCGTCGGCAGGCACTTCCATAGTGCGTTGACTCTTAGACTTTCTGGCCGTCTGTTTGACTCTGGTCATTGTGTCTTGCACAGACATAGAGAGGGAGGAATTCGGAGATGAGCACAGCAGTTCCAACAGTCCAAAAAAGGCACCCCCTATTCTAGACTCAACCGTTCCGGGAGACCGGCTGAGTGTCCTAGGCAGTGCCGAGTGTGTGGATTGAGAACTCATCTTCTTTCTAAGACTATGTATATAGACGGAAAAAAGAATGAATACAAGTTGGAAAAGAAAAGCTAAAAATGGTACAGGTGGTTACCTTGCGTTTGACTCTGGGAAATCTGAAAACTGCTACAGACGGTGACTGGGTGTTTCAAGGTTAGCACACGGAAATCCGAAAAATTTGATGCAGACGGAAGCAGAGAATCTCTCTCTAAAAATCTCTCTTTCTCTCTCTAGAAAGTCAAATGAAATTGAAGTGAGAGAAGGGAAGGGGGGGTAAACTTCTATTTATAGAAGGTGAAAACGGGGGCATCCCCGTTTGAATTTCAAATTTTACTAGTCGTTGTTACTGTTCACCTTTGATAGGTGGACATGTGTCACAGGCATCACGTGGCATTCACGTGACCCCTGTGAGGGGAAAATGTTTAGGGTTAAAATACCCTAGACATGTGGACTAATGAGAGAAGGCCACGTGTCAAGTTCAAGCTGGCCCAAGTGGCCCAATAGCCTCCTGACACGTGTCCCCTTCAGATAGTTTCTAAAATGACGACCTACAAGGGCCCAAATCCCAAGAAGCACCGTAATTCGGCGCAGCCCACTAAAATCTAGGTCAAGTGACCTAGGTAAGGGCACTCCTACCAAGGACCCTATAAATAAATAGGGAGATATTTCCCCATTTTAGGGACACATTCAATCATTTATTACACCTACTTTCTCACTCATCAGAGAAACACTTGAGCTTGTAATCCAAGCAGATCCCCACCTAAATTTCCGTACTCTTTATTCTCTTTCAAGTTACAAACATGATCTTCGGAGGCGGAGCTCCACCACCCGGAGTCTCCGTTGGTTTTGCAGGTACAGCTCAGCCGGACCAATCTTTGTGAGTAACTCTCCTGAGGGACAAAAACACCCAAAACAGGTACACACATGCATGATCCGAAGGATACTCATATGACTGATCTTAAACAGATCATTCGCTACATCATCTACTTCTACACTTGTATCCCATACCGATGCTGATTGGGGTGGTTGTCCTGATACGAGGTGTTCCATGTCCAGATATTATGTATTTTTGTGTGATAACGTGATAGCTTGGTCATCAAAATGCCAACCTACTCTTTCCAAGTCTAGTGCTGAGGCGGAGTAAAGGGGTGTAGCCAATGTGGTTTCAGAGTCATGTTGGCTTCGTAATTTATTATTGGAGCGACATCGTCCAATTAAAAAGGCAACTTTGGTATATTGTGATAATGTGAGTGCTATTTACCTTTTGGGTAATCTAGTAATACATCAACGTACCAAGCATATTGAGATGGACATTCTTTTTGTTCGTCAGAAGGTAGCTAGGGGTGATGTTCGAGTCCTCCATGTTCCATCTAGGCACCAAATCGCGGACATCTTTACTAAGGGACTACCACGAGTATTATTTGAAGATTTTCGAGATAGTCTAAGCGTTCGTCCTCCTCCCGCTTTGACTAACGGGGTGTATTAGAATATATTGTGAGATATTCTGATTTGTATATTTGTTATATATGTTAGGTGTATATTTAGCCTCAGTCTTAGCCCTTCATTGTAGCTAGTTAGTTCCTAACTTGATGCTGTTGAATCTTGTATATAACCAAAGGTTGCTTAATGAAATAGTCACTGTTTATAATTCCTTCAATGTATCTATTGGGTTTGGGTGATGGGTTGCAATTAAATAGAAAAGGGAAAAGGGTGAGGAGAGAAAAGGAGAAAGTAAAGGTTGACAACGGATTTTTGGCCTGGTGTGACTAATTCAAAAAATTAATTTTGTGACAAATAACTTGAAAGAGAGGAAAGTAAAATTAAAAAAAAATTAATTTAGTAGTGACTAAATACCTAAAAATAAGCAAGGTGTAGACACTTACTTTTGGCCTCCTGTCTCGACGAGAAGTTTAATAATGTTACAAAAATCCGTTCTTCATGCTAAATCAAAGTTGAAGTGTTTTTAGACTCCGAAATGCATTATAAAGTAACTTAATACCCATATTTGAAACCAAATTATATTATTAATTGGAACTAAAACGTTCTCATACATGTTCAATCTTGATTAATGACGGACCCAAACGTGTTAAATGCAATGATTGGATTAAATTGAACTTACATTGTGGAAAACCGAGTAAGTAGGACAGTTAAGAACATAATATCCATTGAAGGACTATGTAGTTGGATATACCTTTCAAAGAGCTTTTCAACTGTATTGTATAAGCTCGATTCTGAGTTAAAATGAAGAAGTTATCATTAAAATACTAAACCGACACTCTTTCACTAAAATGACCATATATTTTGATTCTTAACATATTTTAAACTAATTTTAACGACATTGGAAAGTAAACATTCATAGGTTTCCAATGCTATCTTATTTACCTTAATCTTACTTTGTAATCAAAAGTTATGGAAGTTATAACTACACATTTTTTTTATTTAAGGCAAATCGCGCCGTGCAATACTTTCAAAGTTGCGCGTGCCAGCCGGACGCAAGTCTTAACGTTGCACACGACACTCTAGCGCGACTTTAAAAGTTGCACGCGCCCCTTGAACCCGTGGATCTAAAACCCTAAACCTCGATTCCTACGCTTATTAATAGGGGTATTCGCTTAGACTTAAAAAATAGAAAATTCAAATTTTAAACCCTAAAGTTCTGAAAAAACTAATTTCTCAAACCCTCTTACTATCATACTAATTTTCTCCTATCTTCCCAAATACTCTCCAACCCTAATTTATTCCATTGAATCCTTGTAGGTACGAAAAAGAAGGAAGGTCCATAAGCATCTAAAATAGAGATAAAGGAGAATGGTTAGTTTCCTGAGCACTTAGGGTCTGTTCTCATACGTTGAAATTCAGTTCAGTTCAGCTTCTAATTTCCTTCTCTTATAAAATATTCATTTCAGTTCAGTTCAGTTTAGTTCAGTTCAGTTTAGCTCAGTTCAATTCAGTTCAGTTCAGCTGACTTCAGTCAATGAGAACAGACCATTAGATCAATTACCTTTTTTCTTTTTGTTTAAAATAACTTTAATTAATTAATTAGTGTTGTTTGATCACTTTAAATAAACTCTAGTTAATTAATTCACATAGTATTCTTTTGTTAATTAAAGACTAGAATTGTAATAATTAAATTATTGTTTTATCACCTAAGTTAAGGCGAATATCATTTATTTTTTAATTTGTGTCTTTAACGAATTTGGTTAAAAAGAATTGCGACAATTATTGCAATGTAGATTTTTTGTGATTAATTTTTGTAAGTAAAATCAACTTAGTTTTTAGGAATCGTGTTGCATATTACTTGGTAATGAAATTGTGAAAATGGAAGAGCTAGTAGTAGAGGTCGTAGTAGCAGGTCTAGGATTGTGATTCTCAAAGAGAATGTTTTTCTAGTACCCTCGCTCCCGAACTAATTTATGGTTTAGTAGACCAATTTGGGCATGTGGAAACTTATGATTCATGCTTATTATCCATTGAACACTACCTAGGAGAAAGGTATGAACAAGATTTATGAGTTTCCCTAAAACTCAATTTCGACTCTCTATTGGTTTCGTATAACAAAAAAGTAATGACGGATTCAATTCTCATTTAAGGTTTCCCAATTAGTCAGGAATTCAAATCTTAACACACTCTAAAAGGTGTAAAGTGTTAGGCTTTTAAAGGATTAAGAGCATAGAGGAAATGCGATCCCCAACGTGGGCTACCCTCCTCACATAAACGAAAACTTTCTCCAATCAAAATCATAAGACATTTTAATACTACCTCTGTTACAGGTCATGTACAACGATTAGACATATTTCCTCTCTTCGTTATGTCAAATCGTTACACATAATCTGTAACGGAGGAAATAATAAAAATTACTCGCTGATTTCATTTACGCTTTCTCTTAAATACAGTCATTTAGCATCCCAACAAACCTGGCCCCATCTAGGAGATTCTACCACCAAAATATTTGAGAAATACGTAGCGTAAAAGAAGATAATTTTTTATTAATATTTTTTTTTTCCGTTCCATAAATAAGCAATGATAATATATCGGTCTCAGTTGTTTATACAAACATGAGCTACAAAAACTTTATAAAACTTTTTCCCTAGACAAACTAGATCAGGGTGAAGAAGATGGAAGAACAATGGTACGAGTGATCATATTTTTTTATTTACAATCCTGAGTGGTTTTTTGAGGCGGTAGTGTTCCAAACACTTTATCCCACATTGACGACGTTACGCCAAAGCCCTTGTCTTGAATGCAGAAGTGATGATTCAAGTGGTATCTCTGAAAACGGGAACGAAATCATTACACATTGTAATAGACTCAATCCAAGAACAATCTCACAACAGAATATAAGTTTTAGAGAAGTTTAGTCCATCACACGTAGTTAGGACATAAACATGATCCCAACTTTCTCGAGAACCTTTGAAATATTTCTAATATGACAAGTGACCCATAAAATGAATTTTGATATAAATTGACTTTGCCATATAATCCAGTGTTCTTCAAAAAAATAAATAAATAAATAAATAAAATAAAAATAATCCAGTGTTCAAGTATAAGGATAAAAGTAAGCTGTAAGCATACCTTTAGATGTTTTGATACGTCATTAGATGGCTTCCCGTGATGTAGATAGTAGTGAGTGATATCATACATTACATATCCGAATAAGCTACCTCCAAAAATGGCGGGGGTAGTGGATGGTGTTGCAAAGATCCTGACCAAATTCCAAAACTGGAAAAGAAACGAAAATCAGAGACAAAACTAGCACTAGTCCAAAATCTGTATACCAATCAAATCTACGTTGTTATAAAATGGTCATCAGAGAGAGAAAAAGGGTAGAAAAGTTGTTATAATAAACCATTAAGCATGAGGTTTAATTCATTTCAACTAATGAGTTACATTTCAAATTATCCTATGCTGAAAATATTTTTCAGTTCTATACGGTGAAATATATACAGTCAAACTAATTTACATATTATTCCCCTCTACCTCCCTCGACCCCATCTGTTTGATTCATAAATTATAGCTTGGTACCATTATAGCTCTTTTCAAGGGTATCATTTCTTTGCACTTGCTTTCAGATTAACCTCCTGTTAATTTAGGTTTAAAGAGTATGTAAGATGGTAATATGTTTCACCTAGCTTCTAGTCTATTGCCTCGCTACAATTGTTTCTCAATCACAATTTGTCTCTATAAGATTAGACTAGACTATTCTATATTAAAGAAATATAATTGTTTCCCTTCTATTTAAAGTGGTTGCATTTTCCATCGAAATAATAAGTTCCTTTTTTGTTCGTTACACTTTTACTTTATACCTATTTTATGGCGAATTATTCCCCACCTAACTTACTAGCAACATTTTTTTTAACTTTTTTCTACAAACACCACTTCTAACACTAATCTTACACAAACGTCCCCGATAATAATTTTTTCCTAAACTTTCTTACATATGACCCACTAACTACGGTACCCTATTCCCTTATGGTGTGTTTGGATTGAAGGAAATTGAAAGGAAGGGAAGGGAAATGGAAAGATGGAATATCTTTCATTTGGATAACAAATGAGGAAGGAAGGAAATTGGAGGAGAGAGAAATAGAAGGATTAAATTGTTGGAAATTGATCCCTTCAACAATGTAGAGATTTGGAAGGAAAATTCAACATTCTTCTCTCCCCTCCCTTTCCCTCCCATCCTCTTCTCCTCTTCCTTCCCCTTCTTTTCCTTCCTCCTTTTTTTTATCCAAACACAGTGTTAATTTGTGTATCAACAGTAATTATCACTATCAAAATAGGATGTGAATGCAATATGAAATTTAACGCTTTCTGCAATGGACCAGTGGTGTATTCAGGATTTTCGAAGTGTGGGTTCGAAATTGTGAAAAAAATGAAGATATTTTAATTAAAGATTTAATATATAAGTTCAAATTTCAGATTGCATTTAGATAAAATAAAATAAAAATAAAAAACAAAAAAAAAATCTACATATAAAAGCATTTTTCATATATTGGAATTGTGTCAATACATCATCACTAAATCTAGCACAATTCATATGTTTACTACTAATTATTGTTGTATGAGTAACATTCTAGTAGTTTTTTTATACAGTAAATGTAAAATTGCAACTCAATAACTTTTATCTCCAAATAATTTAACATTCTGACTTCTAACCCCAAAAGTATTAAACACAGATTAAAAACCCCGGCTAATATATACAAATGAATTAAACACTGCCACTTATATATCAAATAAAATATGTTAAGTAAGAATCTAACTCCGCAATTAACTATAAGTATTTAATATGTCAATTATTTATCAAATTAGGCAATTAACAATCATCAAATATTAATAATAAGTTAAAATTTTAAAATAAGGAGTTAATTAAAACTCCTAGTTATTGTACTGTGCTCAAACGCTCAGTGTTGACAGGGTCGGAATTTCATTTTCTTGGAGGAGTGGACGAATGGTGCGCAAGAAAATGGTAAATGGATGGTGGGTGCGTGCAGGTTGGGCGATGTTGAGTTAAGAGGGAGAAGGTTGAGGTTGGGGTTTCAATTTGGGGGGAAAAGGAGATAGGAAGTTTCTTCCATAATCGATTCAAAAAAATTAAAAAAAGAAGATAAGGGTAGGATTCAAACCCTTGATCTACAACACTGGTTCAAGATAAAAATTACCATTGTACTGCACTTCAACATCTAGAATAATGTCGCACAAATAATGATTATAACCATTTTTCCCAAAAAAACTGTGGGTTCAATGAACCCGTTTGAGCCCCACGTGTATCCGCCCCTGCTATGGACAGTGGTAACTAATAAAGTACCCAAATATCCCGAGACTTTGTAAGGCATTGCAGTAGAACAAATCATATTAAGTTCCAGAGATATATCAAGTATGTATATTCTACCCAAAATCTGGAAGCAGATGAAGACAAAAAGCCAAATAATTAATGAAATGATATTTAATTTCATGATTAATGATTTGTCCATGCGATACGAGATTTATAGAAATTACACTCCACATCACAGCCATGTTAATAAACATAGTCTTGAAGTGAATAGGGACACTAAGGCAACAAAGAATTATCATCAAAAATAGAACAAGAGTCCTCCCAAACAAATACCTAACATTGCTATCAAGTTTTACTTGCCTGCATAACTGCATTGAGGGTTTTGTCTTTAAGGTGAATTCTTAAGTCAGGTGCTAAACTACTTCGAATAGCCTGTGCATTATTTTTCGAATTTTCTAATCTTTTTTTTTTTTTTTTTTTTTTTTTATCTCTATTTACAACATTTTTACACAAGCAAAATTTAAAATATACAACAATAAGCAAACTGAAAAAAGAAGAACTACTAGTTTGGTACAATCTGATATGCCTTTTTTTAGAATAAATAGAATAAGGTGAGGAGAATAAAGCCTCAGCAATAATGCGTTAATAACAATCCATCATTAAAACAACAAAAATAATTTCATGTATTTAGAAGCTACAACAAATTGTTTCAAAATGGTTGCTTATATAATTAGTAGTAATATTAACTAGAATCAATTTGAGTGTCAATATAATCTTTCCAAAAACATAATTAAGAATCAACTAACCGGAAAACATAGGATTGCTGTTGCAGCAGGAGGGAAAACAAGACGCAAGCCATCCATAGGGTGCTTATGATGAAAGCCATGAATAAGATAATGGATAGTGTTACCCCTATAAAGATTATACTTTTTTTTTTTTTTTTGAGAAGAATAAAGACTATACATTGGTACAACCATACATTACTAAATCACATGAGAAGATAAAAGAGCAACCAAAGAGATGTACAACTCCGTCATTTTTATCAAATCAAATATAAGTTAAAAGTTAAAAGGATAGGCGAGACATAACTAACCAATAGCTCTTTGTTTTAATGTGGAAGAGAAAACGATGTAACGTGTATTCAATAAATGTCCACACAAAAATACCAAAAATCACCAGTAGTCCAATCTCAGAAAGAGTGTGACCCATCCGTATAGACATGGAGATGCACCAACACACAACTGGAAGCCAGATAGTTGGAATAGCCCACCACACAGTTAGGGTTAGAAACTGTATAAAGGAAATACATGTCAGGAAACTGAATGCATTTAAGGGTTTTCATAGAATAGAGGCATACCTTAATCAATTGTTGCCTAAATATGTATTCAAGGGTGAAGTTAAAAGGAAAAATAAGAACACATAATATATCTAAGAAATTAGAGACGAATACCTCCCAAAAATCACTTTCGAAGAAACGAGGGCCTTCGTTACTAACAATAGGCTGGTGTACCCATTCGTCATAAGATTCGCCAAGGTGACCAACCTACAAACAATTGTAATGTCACACAATAGAGCTTTTGACTTTAAATTCAAGCAAGTAATATAATACAAGTTCGCATTTCTTAATTAAAATTTCTATTAAGAATAAAGTTTGAATTTCTTCATTTCTTTATCATCTCATTTGGAATTTCTATAAATTAAATGAAAAATTAGAAAAAATAATCCCAACTTTCATTAATTTTGGTACAATAATCCCAACTTTGGACAATTTTGGTACAATAATCCCAACTTTGGACAATTTTGGTACAATAATCTCAACCGGTCAACAAAAGTCGACAACCTTTAATAAGAAGTCACCATGACATGTGTCAGCTTGTCATTGGTCCAAAAATAAATGAAATTAAAAAAATATATAAAATAAATTAAAATTAAAAAACCAAAAAAAAAAAAAAAAAAAAAAAAAAAAATTCCCTCCCTCAAAACCACCCGCCCCACCCAGCCCTCCCCACCCCCTCCACCAGCCCCTCTCACCCGCCGAAACACCTCCCCCTCCCTTCCCCCACCCAAGAAATCCTTCCCCCTCCCTTCCCCCACCCCGTAAAAACTCCTCTTATCCCTCCCTTTCCCCCACCCTTGAAAACGCCGAAAACGGCAAGGGGGCTCAATTTTCGATGTTTTCGAGGGTGGGAGAACAGGAGGGGGAGTTTTTACTGGGTGGGGGAAGGGAGGGGGAGGTGTTTCGGCGGGTGGGGGAAATTTTCCACGGGTGTTTTTCGATGGGGGCTGCTGGAAGTGGTGGGGGAGGGTTGGTGGAGGGGGTGGTTTGGGTGGGGGCTGGTGGTTAAGGAGGAAGGGGTGGTGGGTTTTTGTTTTGTTTTTTTTTTTAATTTTCTAAGTTTTTTTAAAAAAAAAAAATTAATTTTGGGCTAATTATGTGTTGACATGTGGCTTTTAAAAAAACATAATAAAAAAAATTAACTTTCTCAACGGTAACCGGTCATTAGGACTGAAGAAAAAGAAGACCCCCCAAAGTTTGGATTATTCTAGAATAATCCAAAGTTGGGATTATTGTACCAAAATTGATGAAAGTTGGGATTATTTTTTATAATTTTTCCTAATTTAAAATGTAAATGAAATCTAATAAACTTTGACAAATAAAATAAGAAAAAATTCTAGTGGGTTGTTTAAATATATAAACTTTTTTAAATATTAATTTGGAAAAATACACTTTAATTATTCCAACTTTGATCAATTTACTTTAAATAATTCCAACTTTTGATTATTCTGCAATAATCCCAATTTTCACCTCTGTTTTTTTTTTCTAACAATCCCAAACCGATCAACAAAATTCAACAACCTATTATTGAAGGTAATTTTCCTCATGTCGGCATCTTAGTGGTCCAATAAAAATAAAAAAATTAAATGTTAAACAACCCCTAACCAGCCCGACAACCATAGCCACCTGCCTCAGCCTGGACAGCCTCCTCGTCCTCTTGCCCCACCCCCAAGACCATCCTCCTTCCATAGCCACATGACCGCACAAATCACCTCCCTAACCCCACAACCAGAACCACCTAAAACTTGAACCCGCCACCCTGAAACCACCTCAAATCGCCCCAAACTCAAACCCCAAAATCAAAACGAAAGCTTTCCACCCTAAATGAAAGATTTTCCTAACCGAAAATTTCCCCCATCCACCAAAACGGTGTTTAAGTGGTGAAAGAGCAACATATTTGGGGTGTGGAAAGGAGAGAGAAAGAAAATGAGGAAAGGGAAAGTGTCGAGATTTTAGGATGGGCTGGATCTGGAAAGGATGAGAGGAAGGGAGGTTTTTTAGATAGGCTGGGAAGGGCAGAGTGAACCGACGAGCAAGGAGGGGTGAATTTACCGGCGGACTGAGAAGGGGGGAGTTTTTCCGGCGGGCTAGGAAGGGGGAATGAAGGTGTTTGTTTATTTTCTTTTTTTGGTTTTTATTTAACCAATAAGTGTGTGACATGTGGCATATTAGAAAAACAATACAAAATAACATTTTCAGCAAGTTGTAAGTTTTTGGGATTAAAGAAAGAAAACGGAGGTGAAAGTTGGGATTATTGTAGAATAATCAAAAGTTGAGATTATTTAAAGTAAATTGATTGAAGTTAAGATTATTAAAGTGTATTTTTCTTATTAATAGAAGGTTATGTTTATATATAGTTGTGCAGTTTAATATGTGCGTTGAAAATTGTGCAAAAAAGATATAAAAGGACTAACTTATAAAAATGGAGCGAGTAGAAGGAATGAAAGCAACAATCTCAAATCTCAATTTAACTTTTACAAGAAAAGAAAAACTAGAGCCTAAAGATGCCATACCTGAAAAAACGAACAATAGGTTTGCTTAAATCCACAGTAAATCCTTGGGCAACCATCCTGACCTTTTTTTTTTGTTTATCTTATACCTACATAATAAGAGATAAAATTATTGAGCAATAGATTCTCTATTACTGAAGATGAAATGCATTATAGTTCAATATGTTACTTTCAATTTTATAGTTTACACTTCTTGTAGATCAATATAACTTTTAAATCCTTATTATAGTTTAGCTAATAGAGAGGCTAACAAGGAGAGGGGGGAATTATACACTAGTAGAAAATAGTAAATGGGAAGCCCCAAATGACAAGCGGTTTTGAAATTCCACTTCCAAAATTGTAAATGGCAAGCGATTTTGAGTGAACCGCTTGCCAAATTGTAAATGGCAAGCGGTTTTGTATGAACCGCTTGCACAAGCCCCAAATGGAAAGCGGTTCGTACTGTGAACCGCTTGCCTTCAAAAAAAAAAAAACCGTACCCTACCCATTTTATAACCCACTCTCAGCTCACCCCTCACCCGTTCTATCTCCAATCCTCTTTTCTCAGTCTCGATCTCTTTCTCACTCCTCCCTCCATTTCTCCTCTCCCTCCATTTATCAGTTTCTCACTCCCTTCAATATCACTCTCCTCGATCTCTTTCTCACTCTTACTCTCCTCGACTAAAACCCCCAAAAAAATCTGGAAAATTCAAGTAAAATTTCTACCCAAAACCCCCAAAAAATTCGAGCATTGAGTAAAATTTTGAGCAAATTTCGAATTGTGGGTTTTGATTTGTGGGTTTCGATTTGTGGGTTCCAATTTATGGGTTTCGATTTTGTGGGTTTCAATTTTTTTTTTTTTTTTTGTGGGTTACGATTTTAATTTGGTGGATTTTTCGAGTTTTTTAGGTCAAATTCGACCATGAAAACTCTACATATTTGAGCCTTAAAACCCAAATTTCAAGCCAATTTCGAGGTTTTGGTGGAATTCATTGTTTGTACCCTTTTTTATTGTTTTAGTTACTTTAAGGTTTTTTTTTTAATTTAATGGTGATGTGTGGTTGAATTGTCTTGTTTCAGGCAAATTTGGTGATGGTGGGGGTCGTGGTGGGCGAAAAGGGCTGGGATATGGTGGGTGGTACTGGTGGTGGTGTTGGTGCGTGGTCTGGTGCTGGTGTGTCGTCTGGTGCTGGTGCGTGGTGCGCGTGGATGGTGGTGGCGGTGCACGTGGACGGTGGTGGTGCTGGTGGTGGAACAAGAGCTATCTCGTATTAATTTTTTTTTTTCAGACAACTTGTATTAATTTTTTTTTACAGAACTTTTATTCATTTTATTACTGTATTAATTTTTTAAAATATTTTTTTTTTTGAAAATGTATTATTACATCAATTAATTATATAAAAATATTATTGTTTTTATATATATATATATTTTTGTTTTTCAATTTCAATGAAAAAAAAACAATATTTTTTTATAGCCTTAATGGGCAGCGGTTTGGCGCCAAAACCGCCGCCCTCTCTCTTCAAATGGCAAGCAGTTCTGAACCGTTGTCATTTAAATGGACAATGATAAGCCCCCCGGTAGCGAGCGATTCAAAATCGCTTGCCATTGGGGGTTTTGAACCGCTTGCCATTTTGTTTATTCTACTAGTGATATGTCCATGCAGCCTTTGCGGCAGAATTCACTAGACAGTAGAAAAAAGGAGCTGCCCAAGTTTCCTCGGCGCAATGGTAAATAAGACAAAAAAATTTAGTATTTTATGTTTTTTGTTGTACTTTTATTTCCCTGTTTCTTCTTGCTCCTTCATCGAAATTCGCAAATCACAAGTGTAAATACTTTCCTCCTCTATCTACTCATGCTTTCCACCTCGATTGGAGCTGCTTCACATAAACCACCATCTCCACCACTAATTTTCCGGCGGCTTTGCTGCCGAATTAAACAAAAATCCTAATAAAAAAAAGAGAGAAAACGTGGCATGGTTAACCTCAAATGGAAAAGGTTATCATCATCCTCCATTGAAACTATTTCCCAAGCTACTATTACTCCATTAAATCTACTTCGCAAATCACCATTCTAAGTTGGACTCATGAAACCCAACAGCGGTATATGAGCCTTGCTAATTTATTTTTGTAACTAAAAATTTTCCAAGGGTTTAAAAATGATAATTTCTTGTTATGTTGGTAATTAGATTAGTTGCTTGATTTTAATCTCGTTTCATTAAGAACTTTGGCACCAGAACCCAGATTTTCGTCCATGACTAGTGAATTTAGGGTGGAATCGATATTCTAGAAACATTTTAACCCTTTCAGGATTTAAAAAAAGCCAAATTCTGCCCAGAAATGCCTGTTTCGAGGGATTTTTCATATTGACGAAAATTTTTAAATCTTTTAAACCTTAAATCTTAATGGCATATTAATTATGATTATGCATTTGGTTCTTTCCTTTATGCTTTTGCAA